CCTCTGCTTGCTTCCTACCGCCGCCTCACCTCTTGGCGCAGCAGCTCACGTGCGCCCGATAGGGAACTGCAGCCCGCAGGTGCCTCCGCAGTCAAGACTCCCGAGGGGAGTGCGAGCGAGCCTGCAGTGAAATGGTGGCAGAAGAGACCGAAGCAGCCACTTGCACCTGGTGTAGCCCACAAGACCCTGCCTGGCGCGACACTCTCTCACACAGCTTCTGGCAGACAGCAGATTCTCGTCCACCCAGGCCACGATCCGTCTTATACTCAGTACGACGATGTGGATGTCCCAAAGCTGAAGGTCAAAGACAACGCTACCGGAGAGTGGTCGCGTCCGGAATCCATCGAGCGCAAGCCCACCGTCATGTGGGCCCCTCCAAACTATCGCGTTGACTACGTAACCCCGAGGCCATACTTTGGAACTGAACGCGAGGGAAAATTCCCTCTGCCAGAGCTGCGCTACTACCAGCCAAAGCGTCCTTTCGATGCTGGAGAACAGTCGATCGCTTCTGCGCATGTCCCCAGCAGCACGAACATTGGCAAGGATAAGCACAAACCTTTCGACATGGACGAGCAGCACGACGTTGACGCGCATCAAGGAAACTCTCCACCTCGTGTAGTAGAAGGTGGTCCGGCAAATCCGGGGCATGGGTCACCTCTCCATGGCGAGGTTGACGGGTTGCGTCAGCGCACGGCGGGAAGCTCATCCAGTCGAGATTTGCTCAACCGTCGTGACGAGCCTGTTGCCGGCGCCGCTTCCACGCTTGTACACGTTAGTCGATCTTGAGTCTGTCCAAGCGCTAGTGAAATGCTACGGGAAAACCCGTGATTGTTTTTGGTCGTTGTGTCTCCGTTTGCGCTGACATCATTTATCCTTTTGTGGTCGCTTTGCATTGCAGAAACGAGCCACTTCTGTGAGACGTGCGCACGACTTCAGGGATAGGATGATTGAGTCTTCGATTCCGTCCACACTCAGCTTAGAGCGGCGCTTATTCACTAGCGAATTGCAGTCTCTCAACAAGGTCAGCGTGCCCCATTCAGTGAATACTAAACTTTGAAGGATGCTGACACCAATTCCGGTCAAGACAGTTGTCACGCGTCCTCCGTAGACCCGCTACAATAGAAGATCACAATCTTCCTCTGCTTGAGAAAGACGAGGAAAAGTTCGTGGGAGGCCATCACCGCTACCACAGTGGAAGATCGCTCGGCGTAAAACCTGGCACGTCTACGGTCACTTCAAGCCTCCTGCCTGGTCATCCCGACGCTGTACTGCCTGGCGCTAGCCTGTCGAGGACAGCTTCAGGCTCGCGTCAAATTTTGCTGCATCCAGATCACCACGTCCAGATGGAGGTGGATGCCGCGAAGCAGCAGCTCCACGTTGTTGCTAAAGCGCATCTTGGAGCAACGACGGGTGAGCTTTTGGACGCCAAAGAGGGGCCAGTCAGCACGAAAAGCATACCTTATGATCCTCACTCTCCGGAATCCGAACTCAAGCAAAAGACGCGGATCTGGGTGCCTTTGCGCAACATTGAATGGCCTTTCTTTAATCCTGCTACACGAGTCAATCAGCACGGACAAAGGGAGTTAGTCGAGTATAGAAGATCCGACGTCAGATTTTACGATGGCCATCCTGGAGACGATCCCCTCGCGTGGTCGAAGAGTCTCGCTC